AAAATTTTCCAGTGAACCAATCATCCTGTACGATATTTTATTTCGTCCTGGATGAATAGGACTTAGAAAAAATTTTCCGAGCAAGTTCCTATTCATTCCATATGCTCTATAGGAGATAACTGTCTGATCGTCCAGTACGAACGTATATCGTCCTGTACGATCAATATAAATTTTATATGATCTCCTCATGTGTGTGTGTATGTTTTTATTCACTCAAGTTACAATCACTCCCTTTTATTTTTTTTTATTTCAAAGAAAAGTGCAAGCTTCAAATATTACAAAGTATCCCATGCTGAATTCAATTTGAAGTCATCGTAATCTGGAGTTCGTTTTCCCTGAAATGTTAGTACACACAAGAGCAAATACAATTCTTCCAAAATTGTCAGGAGATAACTACACATTTGAATAATAATATTTGGAATCATCAAAACTTCATAAGTTGCAAAAATGTAAAGCATGCAAATAGCAACTATCTTAACAATCTTCTATGAGCTTCTTATCATTAAAGGGATGTTTAGGCTTGATATGATGGGATTCCCTTACATTTCAAAGAATAAATAGCCTATTTTATTTGTGCGGGGTTTTTGTTGTCTGTGTTTAATGCTTGTTGTGTGGTTGTTCGGTGGCCTCGTTTTGGTTCTAGCTATTGTGGGTTTGGCTTCTTTTTGTGAGTTTGGATTTTTTTGTGTTTTTGGATTTTCTAGGCTTAGGTTTATTTCTTCTGGGTGTGCTTATTTGGATTAATTGTCTTTGTTGGTTGGTTGTCTTTTTTGTCTCTCTTTTAGGTGTTTTTTTAAGTTTTAGCTATTTGCTTTCAGTATCTCTTTCTTTTGTCCCTTGGTTTTCACTACAGAAAAATTACATGTTACCGACGTACAAAATCTATTAGTAACCATGTTACCGACATACAAAATATGAAAAAAGTCTCATGAGGGAGATGATAAGCAAATTTTAAACAAAAAATGCAAAAGAATGTTGAAAGAATTGTTCTTCTGGAGTAAAACAAAGTTGAAGAATTTTTTCTTACTTAAATATGGCCTGAAAAAGGAGGTGCTACAACTACAAGAAGAGGAGGCTATGGAAGGTTCTTTATGTGATGAAAAGTTGTGGCTCTTGAGAACTAAGGTGGGCAAGCTTAATGTCTACCTTGTTAGGTTGAATACTTGGTGGAGACAAAGGGCCAAGGTAAGGTGGATGGAGGAAAGGGATTCTAACTCCAAATAATTTCATGCTTTTGCAAATTCTAGAAGAAATGGCAACTGTATTAACCATATTAATGGGACAGATGGAGTAATGGTGGAGAAACTGACGGACGTAGAAGAGGTTTTTCTAAACTATTTCAAGGTGAAATGGAGGGAAAGGGATTGTTCTTTAATTAACTGGCCTTCTCCTTGGAGAGTATTGGATGATGATGATAGAATTAGGTTGGATGCTAAATTCAACACTTCGAAACTTCTGGATGTTATCAGGAATTTGTGAGAGAATAAAGCTTCAGGTTGTGATGGTATAACTTATTCCTTCTTCAAATTCTATTAGAGTATTGTTGGTGAAGATGTATGCAAAGCTATTAATAAATTTCTCTCTTCGGTTTTGCTTTGTAATGAATGGAAAGAGACTTTGGTTGTTTTGATTCCTAAGGTCAAAGACCCAGTTTCTCCATTAGGATACTGACCTATAAGCCTTTGCAACTCTATTTATAAGATTGCAGCAAAAGTCTTATTAAATAGATTGCTATTGGTTTGACATAAGGTTATTTCAGAAAAACAAGTAGCTTTTGTGAAAGGAAGGTCAATTTCAAATCACCTACTCTTGGCTCAAGAAGATTGCAACAAAATTAGGTGTTATAACGCTAAATATGGTTTATTGGTAATCAAAATTGATATGGAGCATGCATATGATAGTATGTGTGTTGGGAAACTTTGAGGCAAATGCAGAAGATTTTGTGTTTTCCTACTAAATTTGTAAATTTGATGATAGAATCTGTGAGGGATCCAATGTTCTCTATTATGATTAATGGAAGCAACTCAAGGTGGATTAAGGGAAGATGTAGCTTTTGTTAAGGATGCCAAGTTTCTCCCTTATTATTTATTTTGTGCTCTCAATTACTGTCTAACTCTTTTTTAAATGAAGGCTTGGATGTTGGTATCAAATTATCAAAAAATGCACAAAGAATTTCACATCTCTTGTACGTAGATGATATTCAACTTTTCTCAGATGCAAAGTTAAGGAATATCAAAATATTGAAGAACGTGATCCAAGACTATTGCAAGTGGACCGGTCAAAAGGTAAATTTTTAAAAATCTTCAATGCTGATGGGGAAAAATATAGGGAGAAGAAGGAAGAAACAAATCTCAAAGTTGTTTAACATTAAGGAGGTTGAGGAAATGGATTATTTGGGAATTAAAGTTTCTTTAAGAAGGTTCAAGAAATCGGATTTTTTACATCTTTTGGATAAAGCTTCTAAGAGACTCAATGCTTTGGGAAACATATTCATCTCGTTTGCAGGAAGGATAACCTTGATGAAGACAGTCTTTCTTATCGTCCATTTATTTCTATCTTCTCATTCTTTGGTTTCCTTTGGTATTTTGAAAGAGTTCAACAAGATTTGTAGGAATTATATTTTGAATAAACATGATGGTTGTCATGGGCTTCATTTGGTGGCTTGGAATGTCTTGTGCAAACTAAAGGAGTATGGATAATTGGGTCTTTTTTCAAGTGTGTCTAGAGTGGGGCCTCTAAGAGCAAAATTTGCTTGGAAACTATTATTCAATCCGAATTCTTTGCTTAATAGGAACATTGTGGCTAAATATGGGAATTATTGGTGGAAGAGTGATGGGAAGAAGAGTTCTTCGGCTACATGGAGGATTGTAATTATGGGTGGAATTCTCTTAAAGGAATCTTAAGGTGGAATATTGCCTCAGGTTCTTTGATTGATATCCTAAAGGATGTGTGGATTCTTGATAAAAGATTAGAGAAATGGCCTACGTTTGTTGCTAATTGGGATGAATATAATGTCACTCTAGATTCTCTTATGGTCAATGGAGCTTATAACGTCCCTAAACTTTATCAGTTCTTTGGAGAGGAACTTGTGAACTTGATTAGCAAAATTGATATACTTCATAACATGAAGGAAGATAGGATGGAGCTAAAGTTTAAATTGTCTGACAAATCCATATCAGCATTGTCTTCAGCAGCTCGGTACATTGAAGATACTCAAGAAGACTATGATCCATGGTTCTAAAAGCTTAAACTCAATCACCGGGTTGAATTGTTTATTTGGAGGTTTTGCATGAACGCAATTCTCACTGCAAATTTTCTATTTTAAAGAAGACTTTCTGATTCAAATCTTTGTCCAAGACGCAGCCTTGAGGTGGAAAACATTGATCATTGTACAGCTACAGGTCCGAAACTACTTCAGGTAATAAGTTTGCTGAATTCATGGGGATTCATGTGTCGATTTTCTGCTCTTTCTCGGACTGTGTGAGGAAATAAAAACTGATTTCGGTGAGGAATCATTTCATGGCTAAGTTGTATCTAACTTTGCTGACACATTCATGGAATAATAGAAACAAAGTGAAGCATGGTGATATGGAAGAAAGTGGTGTTGTTATTGCGGCTAGAGTCATAAGTTTTATGGCTATTCTACATAAAGACAATCATTTTGAGTAACTGGGGTACTAATCAGTCTTCTGGACTGTTCAATTTTTGTCACCCTCGTCCAAAATGGTTCAAAATAAATATTGATGGATCCCAATGTAAATCAAACAAAGCTAGAATTGGTAGAGTGGTTAGAGATTGTAAGGGCATATTTTTTATGGCCTTTGGTTGTGGTTATGTCCATTGGGATAGTGCACAGTTGGAGCTATTGGCTTTTAAATCTTTGAGAAGTTTTATTCAAAATTGGATGTTTGAGGAAAGTGGCATAGTCATAGAAGGAGATAATCAAAATGTCATCAACTTTCTCCACAAATTGTATAGCATACCAGAGAAGATGATTGGAGGACAAATAGATAAAGACCTATTATTCATGAAGAATTTCAATAACGTGCTTTTTAAATTTTGTTAATCTTCAATGTAATAAGTTAGCAAATTATTGTGCTATCTTAGCTTGTGAGTATAATTTTTATTGAAATGTTATTAGTGAGAATAATATTCTTCCTTCCTTTTTTGATTTGTTAAAGGAGGAATGTGATAGATTGCCTTTGATTGAGTAGTTTGTATCTAGATTTTTCCTTATTAATGCATTCTGCATTTCTTCTCAAAAAAAAAAAAAAAAAAAAAAAAAAAAAAAAAAAAAAAAAAATATCTCAAAAAAAAAAAAAAAAAACAAATAAAAATAAAAATAAACAATAAAATACGGCTAACAGGCAGATTTTTCTTCACAGTGCAATCCAATTTCAACTTTTATTGTGTCATCTGCACTAACGACCACTTTTTTTGAACTTTCATTACATGCATCTCAACTCTCCTAAAGCAATAAATCAGTATCATTTGTTCATAAAATACATAATTACAAAACTTATCTCATCCAATTTTTTTTGGATACATATTGGCCAATTAAAAAAAATTCACGCATACATCGCATATGTAATATTTTATGACTCAAAACCTCTTAATTGATAGTCAAAACTCCCAACTATCAGATCAAGGTGATCTGCGTTATCTCATCCAAGTTTCCATCAACACTGTTCCTTAGGGATTGAAGATGTGTTTGGAAAGCCTTTTGAATATTTACTTGATAGATCGTTTTTACCTTTCAATTTGGTTATAGCTTTCTTTCTGTTTTTGAAATATTTTGCAGTCGAATAGAGTGAAATTTTTTTAAGATGCAGATATTGCATTTACACACAACTCACAGACTATTCGTAGGTATGTTGAACGAGAAGAAATTTATAATACCTAAAATAATTTTTAAAAATTCTATTTTTTTCATAAAAATTCAAAATTTTTAGCCCTTCAGATTTTAGGCAATTCTTCAGCTTGCAAAAAGATCCTCAACCAATAACTCATATCATCCTCATCTCTTGAACCTGCTGACAACAAGAATGTCTCATCACGGAATTTTGAGGAAAATCCTTCCATTAACTCCATTGAATCCATTGAGTTTTTCTTCGCATTACTATCCATTTGCAGTGTTTCAGTCCAAAAGCTCTCATCAATTTCTTGGATATCATGAATTAGTGATGATTCCATGGAGTTCTGGCTGTTTTCTGTTGATGATTCAGTAGTGCCCGAGCAGGAGACATCAGTACTGCTGAATGATTGTGTCGGTTTCTCTTCCTTCGATTCTATTTGGTTCTCTCTCGTTGATTCTTGCGTTGTTTCAGTACCAGTCTTCAATCTTTTCTTCAGGTGAGTGTGCCATACGTTTTTTATCTCATTGTCAGTTCTACCTGGTAGCCTAGCAGCAATTGCAGCCCATCTAAAAAGACATCATAAGAAAATTGCATGAGAAAAGTTATTGATCAATCAACTTTTTCATATAACAATATTTTCAATCAATTTCAATGTTTTTTATCCTTAAAAAATTTGGCCGATTCAAATTTGATAATAATATTGAGCAGCTATGAGTTTGATGTAATTAAAAAGGTAATAGAAAAGAAAAGAAACACTTTTTTAAACATGACATTATTCAAAGAGGGGTATGTGGCAATATGAACTTTATTAAATGCGAGAAGTTATATTTAATTAGTATGATTTTTTCTTATAAAGTTTCTATCTTCATGCATAGAGCGGTGATATTTACCCATATCCATGCATTTGGTGTAAAGTAATGATGACATCCTCTTCTTCCCTGGTAAAGTTCCCTCTTTTAATATCAGGGTTGAGATAATTCGTCCACCGAAGTCTGCAACTCTTCCCACACCTCAAAAGGCCTAAACAAAAAGTATACAAGAAACAAAAATTAAAATTTTCTGGTCTTCGAATGACAAGTAATGGAAAGAAGAAGAAGAAGAAGAAGAAGAGAAATAAATAGTTACCAGATAGTTTGGGGAGAGCTCTCCAGTTTCCATGGCCATGGCTTTGTATATAAGAGATTAGAATCTGATCCTCCTCTGCAGTCCATGGCCCCTTCTTAAGACCCATCTTCTCACAGCAAGGAGCTCTCACCATTTTGATTTAAAATAGTTAACAGATCAGTTTCTTTTATTCTCTGTTTGCTTCTTCTTCTTCTTCTTCTTTGCTCTGCAAGACAAGGCTGTGAAGAGCAGGACAAGAGACCATGAAAGCTCTTCAGTGGCTTTAGTATGTATAGTTGAAGACGAGGGAAAGGTAAACGGATAATTAGTGAGTCAACAACTAAATATGGCAGTTTCCTCGAAGGAGTGGCCCACACAAATGCGAACAGAAAGAAAGTACTTTGTATAATTTTATGGGCTTAAGCCCCAAATTTTTCCAAAAAAAAAGTATAATTTTATTCCGTAAAATTTAATAATCTATTTGTATTAGAGGTTGTGAAAATCAGAAAACGAGAGAAAAAGTTCTGGGATCGATAATTTAATAAATAATAATATTATTAAAAATTCATAAAATTAACATGATATTATAATATACATTGTCCAAATTGGCAGCTCAATTAAGCCCAAATTTACGACTCAACTAGCACAACTAAGCCTAAATTCACATTCTAGACTATTCATGCAACTTTTTTAGTCCCAAATCATAGAATGAGTTTGAAGTAGTTGTCTTTAATTTTTTATATAGCATGAAGTACACACTTTTTATTAAGCATATCATGTAAGATATTCGAGATAACATGCATATAATATAGTATAATTAATCATCATATTTAATAAAAATATTTAAAAAAGTTAAAATAATTTAATAAACTAAAATATATTCTTTAAAATTTAATTAATTTTTTTTTTTGTTTAGAACCGGCCGGTTCTTTCTAAACCGGATCGGTTCAGCGGTTCACTAGTTTAATCGCTGATTTTTTTTGGTTCGATGTGAAGCGGTTTCGTAAGCTGGATCGAACCGGCCAACCGACTAATTCGCGGGTGGATGTACGACAATGGTCGAGGAGAAGTCTCTTCATGTTTTTTCTTTTCATAATTCTCTTCTTGATTGGGTCTCCTTCTTCCCCTCCTTTTGGGATTCCTTTATATGAGAAATGATAGGTCTACTTATAATCTTTTGAGAGTGGTATATGGCTAGTAAATAGAAGGAAGATCAAGGATAATATGGGAGTTGTTTGAATGAATGGCCGATGTTGAATCACTCGATCATAGACAGTTCGATGGATTTTTGAATGTCTTCATGAGTTCAGAATTTGATGATTTTGGGCTCGTTGTACTTGTCTCGTCGATTCGCTTGATTTGATTATAAGCATGTCACGTTAGAAAACTATTTGGTAATCCAAATTATGGATTAATGAACCTTCCAAATGCGCTTCAGGTCTTTGATTTGGACTCTTTTGGGCTCGGATTGAGTTGAATATGTTGTCATTAAGTTCTTATTTCTCAGACATTTAGTTCGACTGTAAGTTTGCTGGAATTAGAGTTCATATGTTCTCCAATTTAATTTTTGAAATTTCTAATCATGATTTTGCTTTGAGATTCTTGTCTGACCAAGATATTTTTTTGATGATATATCAATTACAATCAAATCGAAAGATAAGTCATGTCATTTTTAAGAGTGTATTAAATATATAGCACGAAAATTTTGGATTTATTTATTTAACACACAAGCTTTGTTATTTGTATTATCCAACACTCCTACACTTCTTTAAAAAATCTTGCCAGTCTCATCTTTTGGCTTGTCGATGCTTTCTCTTTATGATGCGAGCTCTCGTCGTAGTAATGTACCAGCTAATGCTCTCCCGTAAGAAGAATAGGAGAGCAATAAAAGATATTTAGAGAGATTGAGATGAGAGTTAGAGAGTGATGAATATGTTAGAGAACATTATGCTATCTCCATATCCGCTGCTCCACTACTATGCATATCTTCATATCAGCTACTACATTACTATGCATAAAGCTGTCATTAACTAACAGCACACGTGTCCTTACCTCATAAGCTAATGAGCTTATATAAACTCTATGTTTACTGTAGCTTTTGGGTTAACATTTTCCAATGAATGAAAAGCCTGTCTGGTTTTCCTCTTATTCTCTACTTCTTCTTCACTAATCATGCTGGTATTTATTTAAAATTTATAAAGAATAGCAACAAAGCTTTACCAATCTAATATAATAACATGAAGAACTACCCTTTATTTATTTTTGGGAAGTTAAGAACTACCTTACAACTACTCATCGATCAAAAAGACTTTCAATCATTTTCTTTCATAATGAAATACACAAGATGCATTTAAAATATTGAACTTCCAATGATCTGATTAAGAGAGTAGATGTATTATATTTGATATTTGTTAAAAAAGGTTTATGTAGACCTAAAAAAAATTGATTAGAAAAAATTAGGAATAATCTTTTTTTTGTATTTGATTTAAATAAAAATTTGACTCTTAATATAACATAAAAGAGAAAATTAATTCTTATAGTCGACCTCATGCATGAGATAAAGGCTTCATTTTTTTAGTAAAATACACATGATAAAAAGATGATACATATATATACATATATATATATATATTTATATATATTATATTAGAAAACACATATTATAATTAATAATATAGAAGCTAGAATGTCATAAATTAATGTAACAATTATTACCCTACAAATCTCTTGGACATTGACGGCATTTATATCTAATTCATTACATAAGTCTTTGAAAAATTATAAAAGATAAAGTGATTGTCCTTCACAAAATATGAGCAACTCTAAAAACATAAATGCTCAATTGATTTTTGAAAAAGCCTATAATTTATGCAAAATACTTCGATCAAGATTGGCAATTGTTTTATATACCAAATTTAAGTTCAAATTTTTTTAATTTAAATGAATTTAAAATCATAATATTTCATCATTAGATTAACTAAGATGAAATTTTTATCAATTTACTGTAAATGAGTAGAATACAGACAAATTTATCAAATATATCAAAATATCTGACACGATTCAAAATCCGACTTGATTAACCTAAATCTGACTCATTTGTGTCAATTTAAATCCTGCATTTTAGATATAAACAGCCCATGTAAATGCAAATATTACACCATTAAACTTCAAAAAAAATCAACTTTAACTTGAACCTCACATTTAATCCGAACAGTCGAATTATAAATGAATATTGTTTTGGGATTTTCCGACCAAATATTATATGAAAGTTTATAATCATGAGCTTGACCCAATAATTTAGATTAGTTAATCAGAACCAGATTTTAGATTGAATTGTATAATTGGATTATTTTTTGATGCCTCTTTGATTTTCCAAAAAAAGTTCTAAAAATATAATTTATGATTTTCCAAATTATTTTTATACTATATTTATAGATTAATTTTGAATTATAATATTCTGACAAATTTGGATAAATTTAATTAATTTTTATTTTAAAAGTCAGTCGCTGAGGACTGAATAGACCAAGTCAAATTTTTTCTTACGTGATTGGAAAATAGAGGCCGTGTGGGTCCATTAACAAAAGTTTTGACGCTTTATACGGCACTACAGCACATTTCTACTATGTCCACATTTGGTCAAAGACTGCGAAGTTTTCGTTTATTATTTGAATTATTCAAAAAAAATAATAATGTCTATCCATTTAAGATTTGTTCCCGTCAAGGAAACTACACGCTTTTCAAAGCAGTTAATGACTATAAATTAATTTATTATAGGCAAAATTATGAAAAGGAGTCATATTTTATCGGATTATATGCTTAAGGAGCGTAATGTGCAAAAAACTTAAAAAGGAGCGTACACGGAGGATGATATTACAGTTTAAGGAAACCATATTTTTGAAATACGGTTGGTAAGAAACCGGACCTCTAAAATCCGGTTTCTATAGAAACCGGAATTTGGAAGTCCGGTTTCTTATATTATAAGGTTTTTTTAATAAATCGTTAATTAACGGAATTGATGTACCAAAATTTTAAAAAATATTATATCTGAAAATAATGTTTTTTATCTTTGAAAATGATGTTATATATATAATATTTTCTAATAAATATAAATTTTATGTAAGATATATAACTTATCTCTTTGAATATTAACTAATAAATATAAGTTATATTCTATATTTTTTTATATTTAAAAATCTGTTAGAAATATAACTTATATTCTATATAAATTTCATATACATCATTATTTAATATGATTTTTATTATAACTTAATCCTGTGTTATCTACTTAATTTTTAAATAATATTAAATCTTATCCAATTATTGATATTTAATTTACTTATTAATATAAAAATTAAATTGCATAATATTCCTTAACTTCTACATAAATAAAATTAATATATTTATCTATATTTTTAATATGTTTATTTAAATAATTTGCTTGTAATAATGAGTAAATATGCAATACCTACTAACTTAATTAAAAAAAAGCATCAATACTTCAACAATATTTAAAAAAATTTACAAATCCCACATACATAAGCATTAGATACATGATACGAATCTTCTTCCCTATTTCTTCTTCTTTCGTCTAGGAATGGCTACATTACCTGGTGTATATCTATCAGGTGGTCAGCTTCTCCTCGAATCTAACTAGGTCTCCATACTCTCTCTGCTTTGTCCACCCAAGTTTGCAATGATTTGTGTAGGTTGAGTATGTTGGAGGAGCTCATCCTGCTGTCTTGGAAGTGGGGCAGTCTGAACGGATTCATCCATGTTGGGATTTGTATACCCGATGAGTTTAGCGGGTCTTGTTGTGATGCTTAAGTATCTATCTAGTATGCAGGAGCAGTATTATCTAATTGACAGTTGTATTGATTCCAATATTGACTTGATGGCACTGACCTGGACGAGCCTTCCCCCCCACCCCCTTAATGTTTGGAAAGCCTGCAGTGGATTGTGAAGGCACAACAAAGTTTCCAGACCCAACATATATTGACTGCCTAGCAGGTTCATATGTCTCTCTTGCATGGCTGCTCTCTCCCATCTATTGCAAATCTAGTTTTATGAATTTGAATTTTGATGATACCAAACATTCATATTTTTTCTACGACTCCCTTGGCCACAAATATTTCAGGTCAACAAGATCAAGTGCAACTTAAGCTAGCTCAAGATTGGGTAGATTAGGTCTGAGTCAATTTGTAATATATTTTTTCCTTTTCTTGAGTTAATTATAA